TGATAGCTTTTTGAAGATCTTCAAAGATACACTGTAGTCTGCAGGGACTACCATATCAATAAGGAGGCACTTTTTTGTTTGCGTTCTCTTATAACAATGTCTGGGCGGTTAACTTTGATTATTCTGTCTGTGTGTATTATATGGTCCCATAAAATTGTTACTGTGCCTATCTCCGTAATCGGGTCTGGGTGATGTCCATACTAATTAATGTCAGTTTCCTTCCCATAGAAGCTGCAGATTTTCCAGTGCAGATATTGGTCCACTCAGTCATACCGGATTTTATATTCAGTGGTTGCCAATACTGCGCAACCAGGTAGATGATGATCAATTGTTTCTGGATATTTATCACAGAATTTGCATTTTGGTTTAAAACAATAATTTAGTATGTGTGCCTGATAATTTCTAGTTATCAAGCATTGGTCCTGTGCAGCAAGAATAAAGCCTTTCAGTTTCAGCTTTTAACCCTGCACTCCGTAGCCACTGAGGGGTACGGGGGTTCTTCTACATCAGCTTGTTTGGTACGGGCAGAGTATTGACCGTGAAGCGGTTTATCTTGCCATTGTTTTTGTATCTGGTCTGTTGCATTTGCTTTTGCTTTCTTTTCTAAGTATTTTGCAGAGGCAGTCGGTGTATTATGCTGTATTTGTATTTCATTGCCCATTTGAAACTCTATTTTGAACTTGTTGGCTTCCTTTATTACGGAATAAAGACGCTTACTACTTTCATGTTCTTTGCTACATATCATCATCCAGTCTTCTGTAGTTTCCAGGTATCTTTGAAGGCCAATTGTTGTAGTTTTGTAGGACAGTTCTAGTTGAACTAATCCTCTACCTCCTTCAGATCTGGACACATACAAAATATCAACATCAGCTTTGGGATGATTCATGCGGTAGCAAGTGAAAATTTTTATCGTTTTGGCGTCCATTCGCATAATGTCAAGTATGGTGCTGTTAAGGATGTTGAAACTGTATTGCACCCCAGGAACAGTCAAGTTGTTTATAGCTGATATTCTGTTTATCGAATTCAGCTCAGTATTTAGTATCAGACGTACACACCTGCAGTAGTCTTTTCTTACCTTCTCCTTCATTTAGGTATGTTGTATACCATCTCCTTCGCTAATTCCTAGGTACTTATAGGCTTCATCTTGTTCCAGTTCCCTAATCTTTGTGACAAAGTCTAAATCTATTGAGAGTGTTTCTGTAATTCTCCATTTCTTTAATGTAACTTTTGCTCATTTATCTAATCCGTAGTCTATACTTATGGCGTCACTGAAACATTTTACAATATTGAGGAGGTCCTTCAACTCATTGTCGTCTTTGCCAAAGAGCTTGAGATCATGAATATAGAGTAGGTGATTGAATACTTTCTTGTTTAGTTTGTAACCATAGTTACTCTTGTTTAGTTCTTGCGTAAGAGGGATTAAGGACAAACAAAACAAAATGAGTGACAAGGAGTCTACCTGAAAGATTCCACGTCGGATATTCTGACGGTTGGAGATGGCAGTGCCTCTGGTGTGGTTTAGGTATAGCGTGGTGTACCACATTACCATGCTGTGCTTAAGGAAATTCACTACCAAAGAGGAGATTTTGTACATCTCCAAATTCTTTACAATAATCAATCCAGGCTGGGCTAAGATTTCTACATCTCCTGCAATTTTCTAGGATCATTCTGCATCCCTTCTGTTCCAGTGGAAGAATGTTGTTTGCTTCGAAAAGAGAGTAAGTACAGTTCGTCAGGACAGATGTGATCAACTTATACGTGGTGGGGAGACATGTTATTGGCCTATAATTTTTCGGACCACCTGTTTCACTCGTTTTTGGCATGAGGTATGTAATACCTTCAGTGATCCGGATAAAACCAGAAATTGGGCACCCTGTCATTCTTTCTTCTTCACATTGGATCCATTCTGCATTTGGGATATATTCCTTTGGGATACTCCAAATATTCTCCCAAAATGTCTGCATATTGTCAATAGGAAGCGGTTTTCGGATATGTAAAGGTGTTTTTCCAATTTCCCTGTAACATTTCTTAAGGTCCGTTTGTAATATTTTATTTTGGCGATAGAACCTACAACGTTTTTCGTAACGTCTTGTTCTCTGTGCCTTTAACTGAAGTTTCTGTTTTAGCATTTCCTTGATTGATGGAATTTCAATTCAGGATTTAATTTTATATTTCCACTTGATCTTGCATTTGCGTGTTGAGATATTTGGGTTTCTAGTGACCTCATCTAATATAGAAAGCTCACATCTGATTTCTTTTATTCTCTTCCTTATTTCTTTTATTTCTAGCATCAGTTTTGCCTTCCAAGCTGACCTTTTATGTCTGTTCATTTTTTCAATGTCTTGACCCCAAGTTTCCCAGCAACTGCTAAATCTGTTGTATATTTGCAGCGTTGTATATTTGCAAAATGTGCTTATTGGATTTTGCCATATGAAGTTTTGGGGTTTGGTTTCTGTCTGACATTTGTGTGAGAGTTACTCTGCTGAGTACTTGAATGATGTGGTTTTTCGCTTCGGTGATTTCAGCTCTGGTTTTCAAGGAATTCTAACTTAATGTAGTTGGAGTCATCTTCAGTGACATCGTCTGGTTAACTGCAAATTATGTCATAGATAGATTCGTCGATTTTATTTTCCGGGAGAAAATATTTCTTATTTTATTTGTTTTAGTTTTTACCTCATCCTCTGTCATATTATTTCTACTTTCATCTCTTTACAGTTTCAGTGATGGATTATAGTATTCTGTCTTATATCTAAATATTATCTATTTCTGCAATCGAGAGTCTTTTGTTTTGCACAATGTCCCTGCGGACATTGGCAAGCATGTTTGGGTTAAGGTTAGATCTTATATCACTTCCTACAATAGTTCTCCATATTTGGTGTGTCTGATTCGTGGTGTTCTTTGCTAGATTTTCGAGTGCAGTGAAGAATGATATTATGACTTGATGATACTCTTCGCGAGACTATTTCGTTCTTTTTCTTTTTATTAGTTGATTCGTCATTGAGTCACTTGGTCCAAGGTTGGGAATAATCTGTGTTTGGGGACCAAATGCCTCTTCGATTTTGAAAGAGTTTTTTCTAATGAAAGATCTTTCTGTCCCAGACTGGTTCCTTTCTGAGAGTACGCAGCCCTTGTTGACCCCGGGTGACGACCGATCCGATATGAAAATTCATTCGTAATCATTGAAATTCGTAGAATTTTGCGTTTTAACCTTGACCGACAAGGGGTAATTATGTTCAAATTACCAGCTCTAGGATGGCACTCAGAGAAGACCAGACAGCACGTCCAACCAATAGGATTGGTACGGAGGGGGAATATATACGGGTAGCATGGCACTGACTATACTATCAGGTGGGAATATCAGACTTTAATACTGAGGGCGCTGTTCCACAAAAGTGAGAGGAAAGAGAAAAAATTAAAATGTAATAATTAAAGTTAAATTAAGTCAAAGAGACTTAGAATGAAATCAAAGAAAAGAAAGAATGTAGTTTAATTTAAATATAATTTTTAAAAAACTATTATTATTATTATTATTATTATTATTGTTGTTGTTATTCTAGCAACGACAGTAAATTTTTGATACGTGAAATACTTTTTTATTCAGCTTGGATTCGTCAAATTAATGTCAACAAAGGATATGTAGTTTCGGGTCTTTGTTTGAAAGATAGGTACACCTTCTCGAGGATTCGAGGGACTATAGCCCCCTTCGTGTATCTGGCGTGTTTTTTTTTTATTGGGGGGGGGTATCTTCGTGTTATGTGCGTATATAATGAGTTCAGCTAGGTTAATTTCCTGTTTATGATAGCGCATCCACGGATAAACTTTGAAGCCCTATTCTGTCGGCTATGAGGTTACCTTCTAGGACAAACCTCGAAATACTTAGGTTTTTTTGATGTTCTGAGGTAACAAAACTTATTTTGTTATTTCTTACGGTAAACACAATTGGGATGACCACAGCTCAATTTTTATCAGCGTCTCCTGATGTTCATTAAATTAAGACTTCTAATACTTCCTGGTGGGAATGACTTACATTATTATTATCATTAATATTATTCAACGTATTATTTGCACGAGCATCTTCACATTTCTTATTTTGATTACTACGTGATCATTCCTGTTGTCGCATGTTATCATTCGTCAAGTTTCCCTGTCTATATCGTTTCTAACATGCTGATTTTAGATTAAAAAAACCTGTATTTTCTTTCTTTACATTTTCTGTTCAGCTGATATAATTTCTTGTAATTCAACGAATGGAAACACCATCTTTTGATGATCAGAGAGTCTGCTGACCGAAATAACATTATTGAAAATTCAGTGTTAACTGAATAACGATATCAATTCATGCCAACGCTTTAAACGATATATGGAATGCTATCGAATGCTATCTCATATAAATATACAAGGCGTGATTATATGATTTTGAAGATATTGTGATATTATATTCATACGACTTTAAATAAAAGGAAGGAAGTCCTCAACCACCGTCGATGAAGGTGCAAGAATCAAAACACCAAAGGTGAGGATACTGGTTTGAATAATTCACAGAATAACAACAAATTATGTCTCAGAGCTGCAGGCGTTAATTACAATGTTATGACGAAAACAAGAAAGTTGTTAAATGCTCATGAGAATAGTTAATCTGATAATAACAACAGCCGTAAGCCAGAGACAATAAAGTCATTTAGAGGAACAGATCTGTTCAAGAAATGCTTCTACAACAACGTAACGAACTCAAACTAATCTGAATTAGAATAGCAAATAATTAATTTTCTTTTCTAGGTGGTTTTGATGAAATAGAAGTGGCTACTTGTCCGACAGACTGGCAAGTCAGTTAATAGAAGCGATTACCTGTTCAATTATCTATGTAGTAAAACTGGAAATAATTTAATAAATCAAAATCTTAGAAACTATTACGCAAAATGAAGTGGGACTTTTGTGTTCCTTTTAAACATGGGACCGTCTCCCTTTGCCTAGAAAATATTATACACAATTCTGTATATTAGATGGGCTCAAAAATAAATCACTGGCCTTATCTTCTTTTTATCGTGTTAGAACAAGAATTCGAAGTCGTATCTCTGGCATCGACAGGCCACGGAAAATACAATTTGCTAAATATGGGTGATTTCCAATTATAAGAAAAGTAATTTGTGGCTTTACCTGCCTTGAGTATCAGGATTCACAATTCTAATTTTTAGCTGAACTCGATTACCAACCACTACCGCCAATAAGAATGACGTAACTATCTCAGCCAAAAACAGGAAACAATAGATAATAAATTTAGCTTAGTACGGTACAAGACTGAATGTGTGAAAATATATGTATGAAAATAATTACGTGCTAATATTTTAAGTTGGGTGAGGTTATTTAACTAAAAGTGAAATTTAATAGCTTAAAATTTACCTGGACTTGATCTTTATGAAGAAACTTTTTTTTTAATTTTGAAGAGACAAGAATGTATCTTTAAGGAAAACTAAGTTTGAATAAAGTGAGATATTATGAAAGCATAAGGGTCGGGGATTTTACAATGGAATGTCTTTCTCTCATCTTTTAATATATCGTGATCATTGGTGTCACTAGATGTTATCCAATGAAATGTCTCCTAATATAACCCTGCCTTTTCAATTCTTTCACGTTTATCTTGTGGGAGAATTAAATAAGTTTCTTTTTTTCAAACTATAATCTCTTATACGTTATTTTTAAAGTTTTAATGATCAGTCATAATGCAAAAGTAATGATTTATACGCTTGATTGACTGACTGATTGCTTTGTAATTAACATAGACGTCGATTATTTCAAGTCATATTCACCAGTTTTGCTTAGTGTCTATTGTTTTCGAACAGGTTTATAAACTAATAAGTATATAGGAATTTCAGATACAATTGAAAATTGCCAGGGAAATGCATGGGACGACATGTTTTTTAATAAAAGCACAAAAAATAAAGATTTTTGTTTGAATATTCGATAGAAATAAGACATCACAACAGGAATTATGAAAGCATAAATTATTATCAATGTATGATGGAACAAATATTTCAATCAATCAATTCAATTATGGCACTTGAAATGTTTCAGCGTTAAATGTTCATATTGATATAAAAGACATTATTCATTTACGAACAAGTCATTGGCGCTGAGGGATTTTGTAGTTTAAATTTGGAAACAGTTTAGAAGCAGTTTTTCTGTTAAATATGTAGAACCAGAAAAACGCAGCTGGAATTGATAATCAGTTTGTTCCTTGGGAATCGATTCTTCAGATATAAACCTTTCTTTAAGAGATGTCTCAAAAGCAAATTAATGTATTGCATCTTCTGCCTATTTACTTCAGTCTGTTCATATCTATATTGTATCTGAGAAATACCAAATTAAAATTGTGGATACATTTTTAAATGATTTAAGCTACACTAAATGGAATTGTAAAATTAAAAGTATAATTATCAAAATAGTTTAATATAGGAAAAAAACCTTAGAACGGTAAATTGCAAAATTATGTTTGCTTTTAAAATTGAGAGAAAAGAAATGATTCAAAGAAAATACAACTAAATTTCAAGAAAAAAATTCAGTCTTTGTGGAATAACGAATATAAACAAGGAAATATGAATTTTGGTAAACATAATTAAAGTAACAGAAATAATTTGGTAAACGAAGAGAATTATTAATGAAAAAGGGAAGTAACTCAAAGTGAATAGTAGAACTGGAAATAATGAGAAATATGCCCATAATTAGTAAAAGAGATCAAATTTAAAAAGTCAAACTTAAACAAATGAAGCAACAAAGGAGTTTGAGAAAGAATAGAAAGTGTTAGAAAACAATTGAGATTGAAATGTGTATAGCGGCATTGAAAGACGCCTCTACTCATCTGCCAAGATATTAAGAATAAATTAGACCGATTATGAAAACCCGTGTGCTTCGAAAATAATAATAATTCGACCATAAATAAATTATTCTTAAAATTGCAATCATATTACCAAACCCCTTCGATAAAAATCAGCCAGGCGAACAAGCAGTGTTAGCGGTTGATTTTCAACCATAGACTATTTACGAACAATAGACAAACAGAATATAATAAAGCTCATATTGATTATTAAAAAATCATTTAACACAGTGCAATGGCCTCTCGGTAGGTTTTGTTTTGATTGATTGAGTGATTAGTTTTCTACGGTTTATCAAACTTTTACAGGTTATTTGAAGACAGAAAATATATTTTTAGATCATAAGAACTTTTTGGAGAAAATAATTGTTTACTGATACAATCCTTACTAATTAACCCATAGCGGAGGAGAAGAGGTGGAGTCACAATGGTATTTGTGCGTAAGTTAATATAACAAACCCAACGACAATTCGAACTCGGCTCTCCGATTAACAATTCTGACCAATTATCCATTACACCACCTGCACATCCAAACTTACAGTACAAGGTATTCACAAGGGGTCACCCATCTAAGTACTGACCAGGCTTGACAATGCTTAACTTCGGTGATCGTAAGGGAACAGGTGTTTCAAAATGATGTGGCCGTAAACTCAGTAGTGTGTAATACATCACAAAGCCTGCATATTTTTTTTAAATTGTATAATAGCCATTACAACATTGACGATAAGAGAAGATTGCGCAAAGATAAAGAGAGAATAAAATGATCAAAGGTTTAAATAAGGATGAAACTATTTCTCCCCAAATATTCTTGAAAGTCTCACCCTGAAAATGAAATCGGAAGAAATATAAACAAGGGATATTTTAACCAAGAAGAATATTCCTGTAGAATAGTTAAAAACTGTCTTAAGAATTAAGGATCAAATCGAGAAGTCCAAGGATTCATTCAATTAAAACTGATTATAAAACTTAAAGAAATATCAGGTCATCCCATAAGTTCTGTCCGAATTTTACCTTTTTTAAAATGAACGAAAGTTAAAGAGTATTTTATAATGTCTAATGGAGCTGAACATTATTTTTATATTTAGATGCATTTAAACTGATCAAATTTTATTTCAGAGAACAATAAAATTAGATTTTGTTTGTTTAAAACCCTGCTAATATGGAAGTACCCAAGAATCATTTGAGGCACATAATGCTTTATGAGTTCAAGAAAGAAAACTCAGTAGCCGAAGTGGCTAGAAACATTCACTCAGTTTATGGAGTGGAATGTGTGAATGAAAGAACTTGCAGAAGATGGTTTGCATAATTTAGAGGTGGAGATTTCACCCTTGAAGATGAAGATCGAACCGGACGTCCAGTTAAGTTTGAGGAAAAGCTTCTTGAAGCAGCCCTTGAAGAAAATACTGCTTTATCAGTTGAGGAATTGGCAGTGGTTCTCAGTTCAAACTATACAACTGTTCATCGTCATCTTCAACAACTTGGAAAAGTTCTTAAACTTGGAAAATGGGTGCCTCATGAATTGTCTGAAAACAACCTCAAATCCCGAGTTGACATCTGCTCTTCTCTCCATTTTCGCCAACTTGTTTCAACTTTTTTGGATAGACTTGTGACTGGCGACAAAAAATGGATTTTTATCGAAATGTTAAGCGTCGTAGACAGTGGCTTGGTAAAGGGGAATGACCCCAGCCACAGCCGAGAAGGGAATTTCATGCAAGAATTAATGCTCAAATATACTGTCAGCAATTAGCGCGACCCCACACAGCAAGAATCACGTCACAAAAGATCAAAAAACTTGGTTGGAAGAAAATTCCTCATCCACCTTATTCTCCTGATCTTGCTCCTTCAGACTACCATTTGTTTCGTATCTTACAGAATCATTTGCAAGAAACAGCTTTTGTAACACAGAAAGAGGTTAAAACTGGCATTTGTGATTCTTCGAATCAAAGCCAAAATAATTTTACAGTAATGGAATTAGTAAGCTTGTTAATAGATGGAAGGAAGTCATAGATAATCAGGAAAAAAACATTGTTGATTGAATCTGTAATTAAATGTAACATTTGGTCACTTGTTTTCTTTATTCAAAATTCGGACAGAACTTATGGGATTACCTGATATCATTATAAAAAACTAAACGACGTATAAACTGGAAAGTATTCAATAAAGACGGAGACATTATGACCTGTCACCTAAATCTAAAACATAAAGTGGATATTAATTATATATCCGACGATTATATACGCGTCTGTTTAACGTAGCAATTAACATTACCCAATGATCAATAGAAATATTCTGGATATATAGGATACTGAAATATAGATTAACTACGTATTCTGATCATGTTCACTAATAAGTATTGTTATGTGTAACCAAGTGAATTAAATTTCCGTTAGTTTAGTGCGTAACTTTTGCCTCTGGTCGCTTTGCATCAGACTCAAGCCTTAGAAGCTAAAATTAAAAATGATCAGAAATTCGTTACTCAACTGTGAAATCCAACGATGTGCAAAGAGTATTTTTCTAAGAGCTGAATACGTCTTTGGAACGAGACAGGATTATTTCTGGACAAATAAATGCAGCTGATTTGCTTATAATAAATGATCAATCAACCTGTTTATACTCTACTACTATTAAGAAAATTGTTATCTAACAAAACTTAGTGGGAATTGGATGATAACAGTTCTCTTGAAATCTCCAATGATTCCTTCTTCTTCTTCTTATAATAATAATAATAATAATTTATATTATTATTGCACTTACTGGTGGATTTCACTGAGGTCAAGTGACAGCAAATCTTCTCAATTCCTCAGTATTCCACTTATTATAAAAGATGTCTTTTGGTAATGCTGTCATTAGAATGATTTCGATTCTTCCTCATAATTCTACTTTAACCAATATTCTTGCAAGTAACTTTGTGATGCTTACAAATTTTGCCTTCATATTCCAATTCTTTTTCATTTCTCTCATAAAGTTTAAATGTTCTTCTTAGTTGTTTTCTAATATACTTTTGCATTGTCTGCTGATTCAATATATCTTTTTCTATTTTCTGCTTCATGCATCTGTCATCAGTTTCTATAATCCAATTTCACCCAAGTGCAGTTCCCATGAGTGAACGATTCCTGGGCATAAATATTTAATTTTATTCTGCATCTAAGATCATTTTCCGCATTCCTTTAACACTTTCAACATTAAGTAATGTTGGTGGAATCTGCCGCTTCCATATCGAGAATAAAACAATAACAGGACAAAATGAAAACGGGAATGTGTCACAACAGAGACAAATTAGCGTCGCATGAAAGAAAGAATGTGTCAATAATTTGACCAGGACAATGTGTAAGCAGGTATGCGTCACAATAACATGACGGGGGGGGGGGAGTATAAGTAGAAATGTGCGGCAGCAATTTGACGAGGACAATATGAACGGATGTGTATGGCTCAAAGGAGCTTGCCAAGAAGAATGTGTGTTCAAGAACAAAGAACAAACAGTCATGCCTCAAATAAGTGTGTCGACGATGGCGTTAAAGATCAATCTGAAAGTCACACACTTATTTTTTATATTAATCTTTTATGTGCATATTCATCAATGACTTTCAACAAAAGGAAAATTATGAATTTTCTGCATAGAGAAAAGAACATTCTAGAAAAGGCAATAAAAATGAATCTTCAAAGATATTTTTAACATTTCCTTGAAATTGTTAGCCATTAACGATCTCAAAGTCATGGGTAAATCAAATGGCAGAGTTTGAGTCGGGCAAGCTCGCCAATGTTTTCTTTCTTCCTTATTTTCTCTGCATTTAGCGAATAGTACAAATTATTCATATATCTAAAACAATAATGAAATGATTGCAGACGCATCTATATACCTATTTATTTTCCCCTTCCTTGTCAATGCACTTAATTCAATATACCAAAATAATCACATAGCTTGAGAATTATAGATTGACCATTTTATATTAATTTTCATTTAATACTGAGTTGTGCTGACCCGTAGTAAATTCTTGAAACCGCGAAAAATACCGAAAATTATAAAAACTGTTTTTTCTATGATAAAATTTAACTTATAAATTACATATTAGCTACAATACATAAAAAGAAAATATTATAATTATATGCTATAATTACAAGAATATATTATAATAAAATTAAATGATTGAAAATGTCTTCTTACCGTAGAAGTTTGACAATAGCCGGATACAATATTCTCTTTATTAAATGTAGAAATTTCTCTTTTAACATACACGCAGTATTTTGTGGTTTTCTTTTGAAAATCAGAATTGCTGTCACCATTTTTTTTATTCCTGTTCTTGACAGGTAATAAAAAATTGTAAATGAACAAGAAAACGGAAGAGAGTTCCACTGGTGAGAAGTGCGAGATAAAAAAATTATTAGAATAGTACTTACGTTTCATCTATTTCAACAGTAAAACAATAGACGTCATAGCCAATTTAAATTAAGCGTACTAAGCTAGACCTCATAGTAGATTTAAATTCCAAAGTACGAAGGAAGAGAGATCTTTAGAACAACTGTCATTAAAATATTTATAGAAACGACAAAACCCGATGATGGCAGTGAAAAAGTGACTGAAGCCGAGATGCCAGGTCAAGAACTATAAAGTTACAGACCCTTCTTATATTTTCGGTGGAGAATCTGGAGATATATAACCGAAGCCTCTGACCAGATATGGCAACAATAACCAATGCATTTATAAATGGCACGTCAACGTGAACCGACTTTCCTAATAAGATACAAAGCAATTGATTCAATATCATCGATGTACTTCAAGTCAGTGGAAAAAGCGAGACCTAGAAGTCGCAATGAGTTGCTATCTATAATAATTAAAAGATGGCAGTTTTGTTTTGAAGGATTTCAAATTTACAAGCCATTTCTTGTCTCATTTAATAACTGATTCGAGGTCATTTTCAAGATCAGCTGCCAGTTTTTCGGGCCTAACGGACTTTACTACTAAGGCAGCAGTAAATAGTTGTATCATGAGCATAAATATGAGCTGATGACATCCGGAAGTTCGTTGATGAAGGAACAACGTAGGCCCAAGGATGGAGACCCAGAAGAGCCCCGAAATAATGTGAAATGATCTCGAAGTGTAGCTGTTTTTCATAGGTTCTTCATTAACCGATTTGTTAAGAACGATTCTATTATGTCAAGTATCTGTCTGGAGACACTATAGACCTTGAGCTTATTGGGAAGGCTAAGTATACCAAACCCTGTCAGACGTCTTCGAGATAACCAACGCCACAGTCATGCAGTTCTTATCTAAAGCTTGATAGATGAATTCAGGAATAACCGCTAACACATCGGCGCTTCATCGCGAGAAAAGAAAGTAATATTGTTTATATGAAAGAGGGTCGTGTGAATTAAAATGCTTAACTAATTCAAATCTGATTAAAGTTTCTAGTACTTTGCCAAAAGAGATTAAAAAAATAATAGGGTGATAATTCAAGGGTTCCAAAGATTAACCAGAGTTATTAAAGACAGGAACTACAGAAGAGGATTTCCAATAAGATGGAAAGCAGGGAATTTATTGTTTGGATTCCGAATTCTATTTTTTAATATGAATTCATTTGTTGTTTTAAACGATATATTGATATTAGTCTTTATAAATATATTTATTCTTACTTATTCATTAAAATAAAATTTCTTTTATTAATTGTTACTACATTTTAAGTCAATATCGAAAGATGATCAACTGGTTAAAAATCGATTCTCATGTTTGTTTCAATTCAGAAATTAAAAAGAATATAGATCCTGAATTTGACGACAATGCTATTCGAATCATTATGAATTTCGTTGAAAATATTTGCAAGTGACTATCTCAATTTGAAAAGTAGTTGGTTCAGTGGATCATTCAATGTGAAAAATTCAAAGTTTACTGTGAAAATAAATAAAAAATTCCAGTAAAGATAATAAATGAATTGCAAAAGTTAAATTATTCATGAGAACATAGAATGCCAAAACCCACAAAAGCAATAAATGTTTGAATTGAAATAAAATAAAAGCTGAAATGTTTGATAAAAGGAAATTTTGTAATGATCAATAGATTTCGTCTAATGGCTGGATGTGGAGAAGTTGAAATATCAAATAGAACACATGGTGTGCCTGAAAATTATCGCAGATCATTTGGCGCGACAGAAACCATTTCATACATCGCTTCTTTTAAAATGGCTAAACAATTTAAGGACATAGATATATTCAACAACTGATTTTAATGAATAGAACAGGCGTCAATTTTATGATAATAATGCATAAATGACTCTACCTTCTTCCCACAGGTTTCCATTTTTAAGCAGTAAGACCAAATCCTTATGAAGAAGAACAATTGTTATTATTATTATTATTATTATTATTATTAATATTATTATCTTTTTTTCCGCACCATTTTTCGTTTTCAACCAGAGATATTGCATTCTGGGTGTTCCTCATCAAGTCGTATAACCTCAAACAGTGAGCACCTCTCGCAGAATATTTGCAGAGCCAAGAAAAGCAAACTTCTGAAGCGATGAGATACGAAGCTTTATTCCAAGTCTTTTGGTTCGATGGCCTAGATTTCAACGTCCCGATTATAACGGGGACAATAATGGCCTGTCCATCCTACATTCTGGCAAAGTAAATCCGGAGGTCAATGACTTTGGATCTTTCTAATTCTTTGGCGGTGCCTGTATTCTTTCTACGCAATTATTCCACAAGAGCTAATGGTGTGGTTGATACTATCCACCTCTATTGTATACAGCATGCTTTTGTCCGAATTCACTCGTTGCTAGAATTACTATTTAGGAGAGAATTACTATTCAGGGCTTTGGTTTTAGGCAGCTACCAATCTCGCATTTCAGTCTCGAATTTCAGTCTTGCATTTCAGTCTCGCATTTTGTCAAGTAATCCCCAGAGGCTTGCGTTTTAATGACTTTGATTTCATTTTCAAAGATCCTCTCTTGCTTTCAATTTCTCTTTCAGTAGCCTCTTGTTATATTCTTCTTTGTTCTCAGTGTTTCCTTTTACAAGGATTTAGGATTTCGCCACAGATTTTAAGATTGTTTCTTGACTGTTTACCAGGTACTATAGTCCAACAACCTATGTACATTTGCTGCACACTCTTCAATGGCGATAATTTTTCCACCTCCTTTTTTGATGAAGTGTATTATCTTATCACATTTGACATTTAATGCATAGCGCCATTTTCAAAAGCAATATTCCCGGCTTTCTGGCCACATTTTCTAGCTCCTTTTTTCTTCACTCCTCCATTATACCCTACAGCCCACAGATACAGCCCAGGTATTAACGATAGTCATAAGATAACAGGTATTCAATTTAGATTCAGAAGAAGTCGTAAACTTTTCCTCAATGTTTTTGTAATCAGTTCTTTTATTTTTCTCTCAAGTATATCATCCAATTCTAAGGTGTTCGTATTTAGTATTCTCTGGATTCAGTAATGGTTTCTCCTGTTGGTTTTTTTTTATTCCCTTTACTAGCGATACATATCATTCTCTTCATCGTCAATACAATAAACATCGATTTTCCTAAACTTCTTGTCAACGTCTGAACCAAAATCTTGTCAAAAAGGTTTGAGTTCATCCTTACAAAGAAGATGGTTGATGGCATTCTCCGGCTTGGTTTTTCCAAGATCTATCTGATTTTTACTTTCTCTAAAAATATTGTAATAGGATCAAAACAAGCAGAAAAAATAAATGAAAGAATGAATAAGCCTGAAACAGCCTTCTTAAAATGAATCTACGTCATAAACATGTTGATCCGCCATCGCTTGCAGTTTCGTAGCACAACTATAGCAATGATCGGTTGATCTTTAGTGACCAGAGATCATCTTCTTCGGCAGTCTTTTTGCTGGTCTAGTAATAAGCTGTCTCTGAAATTATGCTAATCAATAATTCCTCTAGGAGATTCACAGGACAGGAATTTCCAACATGAGGGTCTGGCGTGGTGGTGGTGGGGGGTTCTCGTCTCCATCCTACATTCAGGAACACACTCATTTGCAACACATTCATTTAATGCTTGTCTAATTCTGTCCTGCAGGATGGGAAAATAACTTCAATCAAAATCCCCGAATTCCGTCTGATCTGGGTTATTTCCATTTTGATATTCTACTTATACGATCTTCAGCATCCTTCGTTGCAATATTTATATCTGGTTATTCTATTATTATTATTATTATTATTATTATTATTATTATTATTATTATTATTATTCCCTTTGATTTCTGTTTTATACACATTTCCTTCCGGATCTCAGACCAGAAATGGCGTCATTTTCCACTGATCATTTTTGATCACAGATATTATACATATATAATGTATTTCGTAATGTGCGAGGTGTACTTGTGAGTACATTTTTCTGTATTTCTTTAAGGTATAAATTCCTTCAATGAGCCTATCGGAATTTTAACAATCAATTCCAAGGTTTTAACTACAACTTGAGTTATTGATGCACTCATGTGCCACATTTTTTTAGATTTTCACTTCAAGATCCTTATATATTGATAGTTTTTTGAAGATCTTCAAATATACATTACAATCTGAAGGGACTGCCATGTCACTAAGAAGGCACATTCTGTTCTTGTCATCTTTGATCTTTGATGTCTGGGCGATTAGCTTTGATTGTTCTGTCTCTGTGTATTGTAAAGTCCCATCAAATTCTTACAGGTCCTGTCTCTGTAACCGGGTCTGGGTGATGTTCATCGCAGTTTCTTGCAGTTTCCTTCCCATAAATTTTCCACTCTGTCATGCCAAATTTTATCTTCAGTTATTGCTAAAACTGTGCAGCCTGATATAAGATGGTCAATTCTTTCTGGATATTTATCAGAGAATCTGTATTTGGGTTCAACACAATTTTTTAGTATTGTACTTTATGTCTCGTGATTCCTTGGGGAACATAAGTCCGCAATAACACCTCTCCAACGGACTCGGTTCCGAGCGATCCTCTTCATCTCGGTCCATGTCGTGCCGGCTGCCTTCACCTCTGCGTCAACACTTCTGCGCTAACTCTGTTTTGGTCGACCCACTTTTCGCTTCCCTTTGTGGATTCCAGTCAAGGGCCTACAACACTTGCTGAGTGTGTGGCCGATCTATCCCCATTTCCGTTTCTTGATGTCAATCGCAATTGGGGGCTTGTCTGGTCCTGTCCCAAAGTTGGTCGTTGGAGATGACTTCCGGACACCTTCCATTGAGGATACACTTTTTCAACACACTGAGGCCAATCTGGAGATCAACAATCCTCTCATTTTGCAACAAGATCCGGATCTTCACCACCAATGCCATTCGGTCCTAATTTACGACTGATAAATCTGACTGGTAACCAAGACTTACGCCCATAAACTTCAGACATTTTTACAGTATGTGTGCTTGGTAATTTCTAGTTAGCATGCATTGGTCTTGTGCAGCAAAAATAACAGTTTCGGTTTCACCTTTTAACCTTGCAGAGTACGTAACCACTGATGGATACCGGGTTTGTCTACATCAGTTTGTTTGCTACAGGCCGAGTATTGACCATGTATAGGTTTATTTTGATTTAGTATATTGTATATGCTTCCATTTTATGTTCTTTGCTATTGCAGTACGTGGTGTATTATTATTATTATTATTATTATTATTGATGATGATGATAATAATAATAATAATAATGATGATGATAATAATAATAATAATGATGATGATAATAATAATAATAATGATGATGATGATAATAATAATAATGATGATGATGATGATGATGATGATGATGATGAACGTAAAATAGAATGAATACAAAGGGAATACAAACTATTACATCCAGAAATTGGAATTGAATTACTTTTTTCATACTGATATTTTTTTTATATGTGGTGGCGTAAGCAGGGATACCGGTGTTGATATTAAATTCAAAGATAACCATACAGAAAAATATTTGACACGAAAATTTAAAGAAATGACACCATTAATAAGTGTAACAGTAAGTGCTATTAAAAGACATTCTGAACCAAAAGAAATGATGCAGTCCCTTGGGTTAATAAACCAGCCAATATAATGTCTAAAGTGTATAAATCAAGGCAAAACTCGCAATCATCGTATGTTGACCTTGTGCCAGTTTGATGGTTATAGAAAAATTCACCCTCACTGTGAAGTGAAGTTACTTGAATTCAAAGGCAAATCTGTTGAAGTTATGGAGATTTGCTGGTTTAACCGTTCCTCTTTTTTCTTCCTCCAGTTCAAATAGTTGCCCGGATGATATGCAATAAAAGTTGTTTGACAGAAGAGTTAACATCCATAGCACAAATCTAAACCGTTAGGATTCCCTTGGAGCTTAATGAGCGTTGAAAACTTTATTTGAAAGCTATGATTAGAAACAACAAATTTGTTCAGGAGAGTTAAAAAATTAAAATGAGTTCTGAACAGTCCCACAAGTGTCTGGAACTCTTTCAATAAAGAGTCGAATCTGATTAGGGATCTATTGCAACGATTCCAAATCTTTATTATTCTTTAATGCAAAATGCAAAAAATCTTGTTCACATAAAAAATCATAAGAGTGATAATTTTTGTTTTTTCGTTTCTTTTTCTTAACCCTCCACCGCTTCAATCGTCGGGGGTGGGGGGTGACATGAAGGCCGAAGAAACATATTTTTGACTCTTCTTGCTCGTGATCGTTTCAGAGGACGTTCAGATAACTTAGCGGTGCCCATCTCCTCTCCAAGCGACAAACGAAGACCATATGTGAGTCACAACGTTTCGTACACAACGCCTTCTGATTTTGAATCCAGAGTGTTCCTTCTCCTAGACCGGCTATAGAAACGGAATGTCCTGCTATTTTAGCTATAGCTTGGGGGAGAGAGATGTACCTTTCCCAATTTAAATTAACAAGTTTGAATTAGAGTATTATCGCGTACGAATTCGAACTCGGCTCTCCAATTACTCAATCCAACCCTCACCCGATTTATTCCACCGTGCTTTGTATTTCTAACTGCGTAAAAAAACGAATATTTTATTATTTTTATCTGGAGATTTTCCATGTTGAACAAACATTTTTATTTTCCTTAAAGTTCTTTCATGGGGCTGCAAGCTATTTTAATGCACAATTCACCTTTGGTAGCCACCATTGACGTTGAAGGTCAACAACACCAATCCTATAAATGATTTCTATCCAAGTTGACACCCCACGACGTACTAATTTCCTTTTAAGAATGTAATTGTTTGGTTGCATTGCAAATTATAAAAGAAAATATTTTAACCTCCTATGACCTTAAATGACCATAAAAATCCCATTTGATCTTTTTGCACAACCATTTGTATTTGTTCGATAGCAAACTTAGTTCACTTTCACACACAAACACGCACACACACACACACACACACACACACACATATATATATATGTACCTATTTATCTTTTATCAGTATGAATTTTCAATGTTACTTTGGCATACTAGTAGCCTCGAATGATTGCCATGACCATTTCATATAAGCTGTATCACTGATGTTATGTGAGTCTTCATGCGACAGATTAGATCATTGGGCATTGTCATTTGAGCGTGATCGTAGCACGGACACAAAGAATAATCTCCAAAATTATGTTCGATATATAGAAAAAACTGATATATATATATATATATATATATATGATATATTATATTATATTATATTTATAGCATTTATGCTAATCTTATATCAATTAATATGTAATTTATTAGCGCAATTATATATTGACACTGACTGCAATAACTGCTGCACCTCCAAATATAAAAAGTATCCTAATGATACTAATTAAATCATATGAAATTTACCAGCGAATTGTAATTGTTGTCAAGCAATAAATAGGTATTATTTATGACAAGGCATTATTTAAGCTTTTGTGTTTTATTTCTTGTGTGTGTTTTTATGATTATATTTCTTGCTTTTATGTAAATAAATGTAACAGAATTATTATTACTAACATACTATTTGTACCCATTGAATGTTTCTCTCTGAGTGTAGATTGTATTTTTCGCTGGAAATCGAGAAGAAGCACGTCACTTAAATGCTACAACAGCCATCTCAACTACTAGCGACGCGTCGTTAGTTGGTCACACGATCTTTAATCATGCAATGTTACCGATTATAAGAGACAACTCCTTTCATCACATTAATAATTAGAGATTAAATCACTGAATTTATTTAGACAATGAAATTGAAGGACCATCCCTCAACAGCAAAAAAGAGTCTTTCAAGTGTGTTTGGCTGTTTAAGTTAAATTACTTTTGATAGACAACTTTCGAATTATGCTAACTTATTAAAAATTAATGAATTGTGACAAAGATTGAAAAACTGACTCATCGGGAAAATTCTCCAAGAAAAAGCGACACATTTTAGTCAACAATAAACCAAAATGTTGATCTGAAAACTAAACAAGAATAAAAAATATTTTATAAATAAAAATGATAAAAACATTCACATCTTCATTGTTGCT